ATCAGAAATCAAACGAGGATGTTTCTGCTTTACATCGACAGCCATCGTAAAAACCATGGTGTATAGTCACGTTGAGCACAATTGTATAGCTCCCTACTAATATGGGTAGTAAGTGCCCACAGARCTCTCCTTAAGGAATAGACATTGCTATCATTCCATAGCAATCCATAGTATAATGACACAGACTGGATAGAGGAAAGCATTCATGTATTGCAGTCTTCATTAGTCAGGCATTTTATTGCTATTTACTATTAATATTTCAAGTGTGACTACAGATAATAAATCCAATCCTACGGGTGTATCAAGAACCTGTCAACAATTCTTAACAATCTTCATATGAATACTCCAGTTTCGAGTTCTCTGTTGCCCAGGGTTAGCCAGCTTAACTTTGTGTAGAATATTCATGTGTTCTAGTGAAGGTCTGTGGAATTTCAAAGTGTTTTTATTGTTGAAGCTGTGCATTCAATACTTTAATGCTGGTATTTGTGAATATTTAGATACTGATTTGAGGCTAACCCTGAGTAAATGAGTCTGTAATCAAGGAACACAGCAGTAATTTGGTACTTGAAAATGGTCAATATAAAATGGCCAAGAATCTTTGGTTGGTGTTGACTGTGGTGYTAGTGTTAGTGTGTAATTATGTTATCACTTCTAAATAATGGTTCTCAACTGCATTGACTTGGTGGTGCAAACAGGTCCTTGAAAACTCCTTAAATTTGTCATGGGGGTGTGAATAGGGGTATGCACTCAATTGGTCTGCAAAAAAATGTTCTAAAAGCTAAATCCTCCTGAATCCTTTATCTCAGCCAACAAAAACAAGCTTAAACATTTCTGTCAAAGGTTTAGATCCACAGTTTAAACTTGATAACGAGCAGAACACAAAGTTTTGACAGAAAAATGGATAACTCCACAATCCACTCATTTGCAGGATCTGCTAATCCAGACAAAATTATTTACAAAATCTGTTGATCCATAGGCCTATTCAGCCCCCTCTATAGTCCTATTAAACAACTTGAATATTATTTTTGTAGGTTTTTGTCCTTGAAAAGTCCTTTTCTTTTGTGTGTGAAAATGACCTTGTATATGTATTAATAATTCTTGAAAAACAAAGCACTTGTCATACTGGGTTTTAGAAACAACGACCACTATAATAGTATTTATTGCATGGTCAATTTATTTTATATGATGTGGGATTTCTGATATCTTCTTTATGAAACTGTCCTTGAAAACATTGTTAAAGAAAGTTCTTATGAAGGTTTATATTCGAAATATTAACCTTCATAACTTAAAAGGCCCAACATTGAAATGACGAATTATTTTTACAATCAACTATTCACTATCTAAAGATGGGAATATGTGGACCAGGTAGCACTTATGAAATAACTTATCTATATTTCTATATCTTGTATTTCATAAGTGCTACGCGGTCCACATATTTTCATCTTTGCATCATAATTACYGCGACCAAACATCTATTTCACTCCAGCCTGCTCTCAGTCTGACCTTTAGCTCAGCTGGTAGAGCAKCGGTAGTACAATTCYGMAGGTCGTKGGTTYGATTCCCAGCGAGGTCGGAAATTAATTTTTCTGAATTTATTTCCAAGGGTCTTTCGCCCGGAATAACATCRTTCCCAAGCRCTATAACTTATCTATATTTCTATAGTATTCAGTATCTAAAGAATCAATAATTCTGAAAAAATATTGTGTAAAGGCTTATATCACTTTAGGTGTCCTCGACAAAGATTCAAGATTATTATTAATTTTATTATAACGCTTCTGCTTTCAAGATCATTAGAGAATACCTATGTGCACCATGTCGGCTTTTTCATTCAAAAAAATACTCTACCATCAGAGGATGGGATTTCTGAAGGGAGAAAAGATGAGGGAGGGGGAGAGTCTGTTCTGTAGTCCCAGAAAACAACCATACCTTTCTCGTGGAGGATTGGAATTTTGAGGTTTTCAGAAACAGGAGAGACATCTTCAAGTAAGGTACTGCAAAAACCTCTTTGGGACTTTGACAACTCATTGTGGCTGATATATAGGGGTAGGCTGGTTGAAAGATTTTAAAAATAGCACTTGTATTATGAGGGTTGCCCAACTACAAGAACTATTACTGTCAACGGCATTCCTCCTCCCAGATCTATAGTGTTTTTTACTTCATATTGAACCTTTTTAGTTGACTAAATAGGTTTCTTTTTAAACRACTGTATGTATGAAACAAATAAATGTAGTATAGGCCTCTACTGAGTTYSATAAACATGATGCATGCTGGTCTGGATTGGTTTTAACAAATCCATATATGGCATGGCATCAACTAAAATTAACCAAGTTATCCCACAATGCACCATGTTGGCTATCATTTATAAGTTYGACAAGCAGATTGCATTGTGGTCTAGTTTGGGTACAAACAACTCCTTATTAGGCATGATGGAATTAASGATATTGGTTCCCAAGTTAGCCCACATTGCACCATGTTGGTAATCATTTCTGAGTTTGATAAACATGATGYATTGTGGTCTACCTTGGGTACTATTAACACCACAAGGTATGAGGAACTATAAGATATGTTTGTACCCATACTAGACCACAATGCATCATGTTCACTATCTCTGTTAATAAAGGTCTATGGACTGGCATGTATTTTCTCAACTACTGTAAGCCTTTGAATAGACCTATCCCGAATTCACTTGACTGGTCACGAAACAATGGTTTCAAGTCAAGGTTGGACTTGATGAATAAAAGAATCAAGTTCAAATTTGGTAGACCTCAGTAGAACTACAAAACTTGGCACTAATTTGTACAGTTTTGTGAGTTAACTTTTTAACAGATATATGATATCATCACTCTACTAAAGGTAAGTATTGTGTAGTTAGTGGTCACAATACGGGACCCACAATTGGTTAGATAGCTGGTTTTTCCCTCCCTGCATCTGCTAAATGCTTCATAGGTAGATTGAAATATCTTTTGAAGGCTGATTACAGTCAGGGCATGG